AACTCTCTCTGTCCCTCCTCCATGTGTATATTGCCTAAAGGACTATCCAAACCTGACCACATTCTTTGAGGGTGAGATCATCAGTCGTCGTTACCCGTTCCTCACTCGAAAGTGGGACGCCTCGGAGGAGGTGGACAGGACGCACATGACGTTTTCTACCGTTCATGGACCGTCATGAGGACCTGTCACACAGACGACTTCTCCTATGACCAGATACAGGGAGCCGACTCTGTCTTCATGAGGTGGAAAGTAAGTCTGAGTCTATTCAAACTACTAGTCACTAAGTGCAGTAGTACTTAGTATGTAGGGATGGGCATGGTACCTATAGCATCATAAATGTATGGAGCTATATACAAGCACGTAAGTTGAACGAAATTGAAAATCCTAGTTGTTCCTTGTCTGGTTGTTGAAGGTGGTATATACATAGTTCCGTCGTATAACAAAGTTTTTTTTCCAGTTGTGTCACTCCTCCTGCTGAGCTCAGCTGGAGGGCTTGTTAACCGATTGTCATGTGCTGCGCAGGAGCTGTCTGGTGCCTCGGCGACTCACACACATCACTGACATCAACGGAGCCTTCATTTGCAGGGTTCTACTACATCTGTTTCCAGCAGTCCAAGGCCTCCATTGAAGGCTACTACTACCACAAGCTCTCGGAGTGGTGAGCTGGGTGACTTACTCGGTGATTTATCCCTTGCTTGCACATGCACTCTTCACAGTGCAACTTTTGAACGCTAGTTTTTGATCCGCAATCTCGGTCACTTTTTTACCTCACAAAAGTACTTTTTAGCGTATTCGATTGTCTAGTCTACCCCTAGCCCCGCCCGCCCCTTCTCGTGGTCCATTGTCTTGATTTTATTTGAAGTAAGAACCGCGATAGCAATCTCGACACACTTAGAGTTTGAGCATGGCACTCAAAACCATACTGTCAAATTTTGTATTTCGCCAGCTTTTTGCAATAGTTGTCAAAATGTCAAATATTATAACTGCACTGCTGTCTATGCAGGTATCAGAGTATTGAGCTGGAGCATGTGCCTGAGAAAGCAGTGTCAGTCTATCAGTTCCACTGATGATACCAACTCTAGCATACTGGATACTGTACTTCTGGACTTTTGTACCGACTTCAAACACCCGTGTGTCTGTCATGTGACTGTCATGTGATCATCAACACCTCAATTCCGTGTTTGTATAATAGTATATACGTCTCTCTCCCTCTTTCAAGATCATTCATTGTATGTTATGTAATGACTCAAGTAATTGTTTGTTGTATTGTACTTCAAAAACATAACGGCTATATTAATGAAAAGCACTTGAAAGTGCATAACCCTCGCCACTTTATTCTTTATTTCAGCAGCCAATGGCTACTAGCTACACTACTTCAGTTTTTGCCACATGCGCGTTCAATACTACAGCAAAGTGAAAAGCACTGGTCTTGACAACCCTCACCACTATTCAGTATAGCTACGCTACCTCAGTGGCTCCTTCACTGAACGGATTCACTGGGGCGTGTGCTGCTCTCACTTCACCGGCAATCTCGATCCTACTCAACTGTACCATCAATACAGCCAGACCAGCAAATCTTCTCCTGCGCATGCGCGCAGCGAGGGTTAACAAATTCATCAGTATGGTTACGACAGCACTGTCAAAAACAAGTCATAGAAAACTCGCGCAATCAGACAACTAGGTGGGCTCACTTTGCAATTGGCAAAGCATAGTAATGCATAATGCACAGTCAGTATTCAATGTCTAGCAATAATTATCTATTGCCATCTTTTCCAGGTGATTAATTATGTCATACTTTTGGTTTTCCCAGTTCACCCTCTCTCCATTCTGCCTTCTTCTCTTTGGTCGGCTCTTTTAGAGGGGTGTGTCACCTTTTCGCGTTCTTGTCATCAAGGTTGACACTGTACGAATGCGTAACTGGTGCTGTGTGGGGCTGCCAATATGTTAACCTACACCAACTAACCACCTACTGGCTTATAGGTTTCCCACTCTGATTCGAATCTACAAAATGCATCATACGTTATTGTTGGAGAAAGTGTTTTAGCGCATTGATACGCATGAAATTGTGATATCCATCAAGTACACAATAACTATTATAATATTATAATATCATAAGACATGCAGACTAGATTATTATTTTAGAAGGTCTGTCAGTTATATATCAGGAAACGGCGGCGGCGGCGGTAAGTTACGGTTTTTGTCTCTATAGTTTCAGTTTCAATCATCGTTGGTGTGTTATGACTCTGTTTTGAAAAATGCTCCTCAATTTCACCATCAGTCATACCAAGAGATTTCATTCTTGCTTGAACATCAGCTAACTGCTGTTCAGCATAATTAATAGCGCTTTCATTCTTCATAATCTTTTTTATTATCTTCTGACTCTATAATATCTGTGGTCAATATTGCACCATCGATTGCAATTGATGCTACAATACCGAATGGTGGTACCAAGCTAAATGCACCGGAGAGTACTTCGCACAATGATCTCTTGTATTCACCACGGTTACACCGATACAATACAAGCAATAGCCCAACAATTAACCCCAACATAGGAACATTTTTAAGGAGTGTTGCAACAACTTGCTTCAAAAATATTTTTTTGTAAATGCTTTGCATGGCTCCCTCAATATCTTCATTTAAACGACTGATCTTATCTTTGAGATCCACTCCATCATCAACAAGCTTATTAATTTTCCTTGGCTTCCTTTGGCGTAGTATAATATCATGTTTAGAAGACTTTTTGTTTCTCTTACCCCTTTTTGAAGTATATCTAGCCACATTTTTTAGCTTAATGACATCGATCTGATATATGTAATTGGGGAGTCCACCATTTGGCTTGCCTCTTGTTGGATATGTGCCACTATTGAAACTTAATTTCATTGCCTCTTGAACTTTCTCAAGTCCATTAGCACAGTTTTCGACCTGCGGATCAACTAGAACACACGCGACAGTGTGGTTGGACACTTGATAATGGATATTCAAATATCCTTCAGCAGTAACCCTTTGGAAATCAATTCGAAAGTAATTATCAGGTCTTCCTTGAGGATCTGTAGATTCCCGAAGTAAGCCAACAATAGTTGTTCCAACAGAAGCTTCAAAAATATTTGTGAACTTTCCATGGTTAAGCAACAATTCGAGCTGTGAAGCTAATCTTCCTCTTGCTGGAAGATCCTTTGCAGAATTTGATCTATGCCTAATAGGCTGTCTAGTATCCCACACATCCATCACGGAATCCACCCCTTTTTCCAAGCTGTGTTTTTAAAAGACAACTATGTATATGCTTTAGAGTGCCAAAGGTGAAAATTAAAGAATGACAATGTGTGTGAATAATGCTTAAGCACACAATGTATACAAGTCATGTGACTGCAGTGCTTTTTATATACCGTCCCACTCCACAATGCATCTGTGTACAGAGTGAACAACCTTTAGCCTCTTCCCCCGGGCTCTCCCCCGCAAGCATTATTGTCACAATGACCTTTGTTCTGACAAAGGTAAAAGATCATACGATGAAAGAAGTGCTCATAGTGAGAGAGCCTGGGGACAAGGCTAAACCACCCTATCGGCTCTTAAACTGTTTCTGACTTGGTAATGCTTGTTGTGAACAGGAATGTACATGCCAACTATGCGTTTTGTCACGTGACTCTCATCGATCATCAAGACATACAGCTACATATAAGTACTATTAAAATATGGACAGTCAGTGTTTGTTGTTTCTAGGTGGTTTTTGTCCAAGAGATGCCAGTAGTCGCCTCTGCCTCTCCTTCTCCTCTGCTTCTCTCTGTGCCCTCTTCTCCTCTTTGGTTGGCCCTTTTGAAGACGACGACGCTTTCTCCTCCATCTTTTGTTCCTTCTTCTTTTCCACAACTTCGACGCTGTAGATGTACAGTGGTGTACCGCCGTTATCCTCACCCTTCACTGGGTAAGATCCACTGCCAAGGCTTTTCCTCAAGCCTTCCCGAACCCCAGAAACTCCGAGATCTTTCACTTTAGGATCGACTTGTACACAGGCCACAGTGGAAGTGGAGACCTGGTACTGGACATTGAGGGGTTTGCCCGGCTGTGGGTCTTGCTGGAGGTCTATGCGGAAGTAGTTGCTACTCCTTCCCTGCTGGGGGTCAGTTTTCTCCCGAGGCAGGCCAACAATGGTGCCCGCTGCAGCTTCAAAAACAACCGAGACATCGAGTTTCCCGAGCAGTTCGTCGAGTTTCTCACGAATCCTGACTTTCCCCGGGAGCTCTGCAGCTTTCTGGCCACCAGAAATGGGCCTATCGGTGGGTTTCACAGCCACTTCACGCTCCATGGTAGCAGGACTACTTGCAGACTGTTTTGCCGTTGTTCTGCAAAAAGGGGCTTTTTTATATACTATAGTTGGGTGCGTTTCCTCATTCTCCAACTTTCCTACTTGTGTATATGATGATCAGAGATGCCAATCTTTTCCTGAAAGGTCCTGAAGTTGTAAGGCTTACAAAATAAGTGGGTGTATAGACAAAGGAACAGTGAAGTAGAGGCAAAAGAAGGATTGGTGAAGCAAGATAGGGAGATGTGCAGAAAGGTATAGAGTACATTGCTATTCCATACTCCAACTTTTATCTAAACGTTAAATGTGGTTGGCTTGTCTCTTCCTCCAATGGTTTACCTCCATAAAATGCAAAATCATTGACACCATTATTGGTGGGAGTGGGAGACGGTGAGGTTAAAAAGGGATTGGTGAAGCTAGATAGGGAGAGGTGCAGAAGGATAGAGGACTTTACTATACTCCAGCTATTGTCAAAAGTATTACAGCTACTCTCTTCTTCCACTGATTTACCTACGAAAAAAGCAAAATCGTTGATACCCTTATTAGGGGTAGATCAGCAAAGGGACAGCGAAATAGAGGTGAAAGAGGGATTGGTAAAGCTAGATAAGGATAGTTGCAGAAACACTGAGTATATTACTATTCCATACTCCAATGATATTCAGGATGGTTGTCTTATCTCTTCTTCCTCGACTTACCTATGAAAATTGCAAAATCATTGATACCTTTACTAGGCAAAGGGACAGTGCAGTGAAGCTAAGTAGGGAGATGTGCAGAAAGGCAGAGTACTCTAACTTTTGTCTAAACATTTAAGTGTGGTTGGCAATTTCCGTATAGGATAGTGGCTCATATGAAAAAGGGTAATTTTCAAAATTCCTGGTTTGAGTAAGGCTACAATCTTTTCTTTCACCAGCAGATTACTATGGCTGCCACTATAAAAGAGCATTTCGTCATCTTTTCCTGAAATTCCATTCCGAGGCGTCATTCCCGCAAATTGCGTACGCTAGTCCGCAGATATAGCACAGTTCGTGTGATATAGTACAGTTCCGCGGGATATAGTACAGTTCATTCAAAAACCGTTCTGTATGATGAATATAGTACTGGCGGCGCCGCCTTTGATTCGCCCACGCAAAATACAATAAATTATTATACAACAGTAAGACAGTACTGGGACTAGATGAGAGTCAAAGCATAGCCATACATACATATAAATGAGACAGAAGCTGTAGCTTTTGCAGCACCGAAAACAGAACCGACAAAAGCAGCTTCTGCCTATAAAACCTGACACTAATGTAATGGTATATAAATGACTGCAGAAAAGTACATAAGCACAATAACTGTAAAAGAGTCTAATGGTATAAGCACGACTCAAAACGTAATTATAGGAGTATATGTGTGCAACTACAGTCACTACGGACGCTGCCAGTCTTTCCCATTCAATAGTAAGGTGGGCAAGACGCTGGCTTGCTGCCATCGAATCCTCCAGACGTAATCTGAGAATTGTCTTCCCTGTCTCGCCGCAATGGGAGGGGGTCGCCCCTGTTCATTAGCTCCTCGATGAGCTCGGAACGGCTGAGGGGTTGAACGGGGACAGACGGATCTCCCTCGTCTCCACTGGAGTCGCTGTCAACCTCCGGCAGCTGGAGAGAGTCCAGTGTCTTCTGTAGCTCAGGGTCAACCTCGCTCTCCTGCCCCGGGAAACGAATCGCCATCATCCGTTTCTTGCGCAGCATACCCTTCATGGGGGTCGGGGAGAGTGGCTTCGGCACCTGTTTTGCCTCCTGGGACTCCAGACGCTCCAGCTCGCGACTCGACAACTCTCCAAAGTAGCTGAGGAAGGGGTCCATGCTGGCGGGATTTATAACCCCGCCCCCAAGGTCTTTGACGCGGTAGAGCTCTCGGAGGACTTCGTCTGGTTTGAGTCCTGCTTTGAGGTAGTCTGTGGTACTGTCAGTTGGGAGAGAGGGGCCCCTGGGTGACGAGTGTGTAACGGGGGAGGGTTTCTCGTCGTCGTTGCTGTTTGTTGAGTGTGAGGGTGGGGAAAGAGAGACGGGAATGAGGGGAGGGGGGAGATTGGGGAGAATGGGAGGTGGGAGATAGGGGATGAGGGGAGGAGGGAGAGGTGTGAGTTGAGGCAGGGGGAGGTCGGGAATTAGAGGGTAGTCCATCAGATTCCCGGCTTCTAGTAGCCTCTGCAGGGCTTCTTCGGTCGACACGGCGTTCGTCTCATCCAACTCCTTCACTGTAAACCGTGCCAGCAGGTCAGGATCTCTCTCCAGGAATCCGTAAGGGGAATCATCGTATTCAACCAGTTTCTCCTCTCTCTGTGGCTGATTCGAGGTGGAGGAGGATTCATGACCTTCTGTTGTGGAGTGAAGTAGAAGGTCAGTGAAAAGAAGAGGGAGAGGTGGGCGAGGTGTTGTTGTCTCTGAACGTCGAGCGATGCGTGGTTTGTCTGTTGCCCCGCCAGGAGATGAGCTGAAGTTTCTTGTGTGTGTCTCCCTTAGCTCCCTACCGCCTTCCTCCATATCAATAAGATCCTGCACACCCGATTCTTTTCCCCCAACAGAAACTGCGTTTGTCTCGCCGATGAACCCAACCCCCCAATTAGTACCAGTGTAATCCACTGTCTGTTTGCCATAGACTGTGCTCGGGGGGTGCGAGGCAAGCTTGCTGAGTGGCCTTGCAGGGTAGGGCCTTCCTGCTGGGGCCCATATCACCCACTGGTTCCCCGTGAGGTTCACAACGTGTGGGGCATACTGGATCAGCTTCGTGCCCAGCCAGTCCTTCCCCTCCGCCTCCGGGGGAGGTCCAAAGGTCAGAGTGTAGAGGTCTCGGAGGGCGTCGAGAGAGAGGCGGCCGTTGTGCTGGGCGAGAAGGAACCGCAGCTGCTCTGCGAATCGATTCACGTCCTTCAGCACTGCTCTACCGTCACTCACCTGGGTGGTTGGCAGAGCAGTTGATACTTATAATAGTGGGAAACTGGTATACAAATCAACTGGGAAAAATTTCTCTAGGGCAGGAGTCCTTTGAGAAATTTGACACACAATCTGTGTGAAAGTACTGGTTAGATTTCATAAGCCCCTTTGTATCTTCCGCTTAGATGCAATATTATATAAGAAGGTTTTGTGGAACAGCACACTTCAAACAAACCACATAAGAGACTGGGTTACAGAACTGGTGAGCACCTGTATGTGTGTCTGTATCTCACGGAGAGCGAGTAAATCAGCCACAGAGTCCACGTTGAGACGATGCAGGGGGAGAGGGAAGCCATAGTGCAGGTGGAAGAGACGAGGCAGGTCGGCCAGACGGTCGCGACACTCCTCCCCTCGGAGGTAGAGTAGCTCCACCAGGAGAGATGCCATGACTCGTTGGCAGCCGGTGTCCACCAGTGAACACAGCTGCTTTGTTTCATCAAGCTGGTGACAAACACATGGAAATACAATAAATAGGTGACTAGAGGGGAGAACCGCAGTCCATTTTGACGAGCAAACATTACCCAGAGCAATTTTATGTGAGTGGCACTGCAATGTTTTACGCGCTTGTAAAATACTCTAAGACCGTTTTGGCTCCATAGCTAAGCGACGGCTGATATTCATACTCGCATTCACCTACCACCACTTGTTCTTGTATTACAATTATACCATGCCAACCCTTAAACACAGTATGAATTACGGTACTAATAATTGATGATGGGGAACCTTAAAGAGGAGGTTGAGGTGTTTCTCTCCCTCTATAACACCCTCCAGCGTCCTCATTCCATACACAGCTGGAACGAGTCTGTGGCCGTAGCACTGGAGGTAGAGTGAGGTCATCTGGGCCAGAGACAGATCCAGCTGGGGCGTCGGCCGGACTACAAACAGGTGTAACAGGTCCAGACCCAGTTTGGCGATGCAGTCAGGCCGGTTTAGCTGGACCAGGCTGTCCCCCACTGACCCAGGGATGGTGCTTATCTGTCATGATACATATGTAGATCATAGAGAGGTTGAGGGGGCCAAACAACTGGTACACATACACACAGAACGATAGCTAGTCGTTTCTCGGTGTACAAGAGGTTTAACGTGAATAAGATTTAGAGGCTGACAAGAAGGTTAACTGGACTAGCTAGATATTGCCAAGAGACCGTGGCCACTCAAGGTCACTATTACACATTCAATTTGACCTACGTACAATTGCCCCACATCTACCATGCAAAAAACACCACAAATCTCTCCAACAATCATTGTCTTGGCTGCACATTGCATAGCACCAAAGAAATGCATCAGCAACACACACACACACTAACTGTATACGTACCTGGAACATCTTGGGAGCCTTGGAGCCACCTCTCCTGACGTTGTGTTTGTGGAGACCGAGACTCAGCTCCTCTGGCTGGGGGTGGGCGGGGTCCTCGGCCTCCGCGAAGCTCTCCACCAGCTCCTCGATGGTCATTGCGTGTTCGGGGTTACACTGGAGCAGTCGCTGCGTCTCTGACGCCAGACGCTGCGACTCTCGGTCGCAGAACCTCAACAGAGACCCACCCTCGCTTGCTTTTACCTCCGACTCTGGCTTCCCACCAGTGGTACTCGTGGTTCCGGCCGTAGTGGTACCGAACAATCCACCCCCTCCCCTCTCCACTACCAACAATTCCACCCCCACCCCCTCCCGTTCCACTACCGACCACTCCACTACCATTCGGTTGCAAAGGCTCAGGTAGGGTGACCGTAGAAAGAGAAGGCGGAAGTGGAGAAGTGTCTGCCCTCCTAAAAGTAGGTTCAACAGCAGCTCCCCCACTCTCCTCTGCAGGGGGCTGTTTGCTGCCGTCTGCTGGCTCTAGCAGAGGTTCGGATGGCACCTTCTGCGGCGGAGCTTTAGCCTTATCTTTCTTCTTCTTCTCCTTGTCTTGTTGGTGGACAAGAGCAATGTACTGCATTGGCACTGTACCTGTCACCTAGAGATAGAAGGTTTACCAGTAAATAATCTGAGAACCACTCTTCACATTTGGAAGTACAGTATATATACAATGCACAGCAATCACGTACAGACCTAAGAGTTTAGTCAAATTTTTATATAGCCCGAAGCTTTCAAGGGGGGAACTTGCTAAATTTGAGACCCAGCCTCATAAATATATAATGCAAAATTGTGCCAGTTTACAACTAGAAATCTGTTTGTATTGCTATTGAGAGTACATAGCAATGACTGTGTAATCAGAGCATTTGTTGACAGCACACTAATGTTTCATGTCCCACAATATATGTATCATATGCTTACACTGAAACCAGGCATTTTGCAGAGAGTGTCGGCCATCTCCGCGGCAGTCATGGGCGGCAGTTTCCCCGCGGTCGCTGGTCCTCTGAACACCTCGTTGTAGTCCCGCGTCAGCTCCACCACAGGTTTCTTCTTGGTGAGGGTGGACATTAGAAGGACCGACACCTCCTCTGCAAACTGCCGCTGTGTAGCTGTACATACATACATACATGATGGATGTTCAAGGAGCAGCAGAGAGCAGTTCTATAATAATATACTGTACAGAGAAATCAGCATGGACTTTGTGGTTGAGATGCAGCTGGCATTTGTTTGTGGGGACAACTGGAACAAGGAATCCTGTTTGCTACATACCCAATGCTGCTGCTGAAAGGTTCCTCTTTTTGCCATATAGACTTCTTATATATAATATATATATCTGTTTGTTGGCAAACTACAAAGTATCTGTTAGCATGCCATAGGAAACCTGGGTCACACGGTGCACGGTACCATCTGGTGCATATACACGTATGCACAATACATTATGTGTACATATGTACCTGGATCACGGAATGTGACTGGCTTCTTCAAAACGGCCACACGAGAAGGTCCACTCCCGGTAAGCTGTAGAGAACACAGCACCACTGAATCATAGACGCCATACATTGGACTTTCCCAACAATGTTCGAAGTCTCTGACCCTCTAGACCACCTCATTCATATTCATGTCTGGTTAACCCTCAATAAACCCCTAATAAACACTCTGTGAACATTACGTGCTGCACGTGGGAGGGCTTGCACACACACTTTGTCCAAACCACACAGTTTTTCCACAGGGGCCTAAGATTCGTTTCTCAATGAATGCCTCGTATTTATGCAGAGACTGCAACTACGGCTCACAGTAATGGTGTCAGACATTGCTTCCAGAGCCTTGATCAGCTTGGAGAAACCGAAATGGCTGACAACCATGCTCTTCCCAAACATTTCCTTGTACTCGGGGACTATCTGGTTGATGCTGAGCCGCCCGCCGCGGGCAGAGAGGAGGAGAGAGACTTCGTGGGTGAGGACCAGCAGTGGCTGGAGCTGTACCAGTCGCGTCGGCCCTTCTCTTCTGAGAGCTGTGAGAAGAAAGATAGGGAGAGAGGGAGAGAGATGGTTCAGCGCAACTTCAGTCCCAAAACAAGTTTTTGAAGTCACAAGATTATATAAAACTTGCAAGAATGCAACACATGGCAAAGACAATTGTGAAATTTTAGCCGTATTGAGTTAAGTAAAACATGGACAGTGACTCTTTACGTGAGCTTGCTTTACTGGCTAATTTGTGAAAGAGAGGGTGGATATCTGTAATGAGCACATTGTGGTGCAAAACCAAGTGTGTTACAAGAAGCATTTGAGAATATCTTAGCTTGCACTTACAGTGAGTGTGGAAGTGAATGTCTCCAGTAGATTAGTGAGCTTGGCATGGCCGTAGTAGCCCATCTTGTGGCCATACTTCTTCTCATACTCTCCGATGAACCTGCCCAGCATGATCTGGTAGTCCGGGAGCCAGCAGAGTAGCTCGCGGACACGAAGTTCGCAGTCAGCAACCGTGTCTAGGAAGAAGGCCTTTACTGATACGTTTCATACAGGGAAAAAAATTAATGCTAACCAGATGGTGCTGGTTGTACTGCTAGCTGTGTTGGGGCCTTGGTAGCCTGTGGAAAAAGAGGGGAAAAATAAAAATGCGTTGGCCGGGAGTCGAACCCGGATCTATTGCTTGGAAGGCAACAATGCTAACCGTTACACCACCAACGCTCCTGCCTACACCAGCCAAAAATCAGCCCATACATTCAGTCACAATACATAATACTCACAGCAGAGCAGCAGGTGACTGTTCTGACTCCAGAAATACAACTGTCTCAGTTCTGTTGTTCGGTAGTTTGACTTCTTTCAACTGTAGCAAAAGCAAATAGCAAAACCTGACTTGAAACATACATAGCTTGTTTCTGGGCCCTCGAATGAAAATTTCACCAACATATATACACTTGCACATGCATAGACCTTTCTCATCGTGCATGTAAGCTGCAATTTTTAACCACCAAACACATCTCTTAGTCTGATAAGAGAGGATGAGGTGTAGTGTGCGGTCTCACCCCGATCCCCGAGCAAGCCTCGACCAGGGACTTCATCTTCCCTGTCTCTCCACTGGCCGCTGGCACATAGTCTGCCACTCTGAATGAGTGGTGATACAGAGTCTGGTACTCCTGCTGTAGCCGACTGCATGGAATGTAACACACATTCACAAGGGATCCCATAAAGTCATGAGTCTTGCTAGTTCCAAGAAAAGGATGCTGTGCATGTGCATAAAACCGCCTCACAAACAATAGCCGAGAGTATCTTGCAAGCGAGCTTTTGTAGGCAAATGTTGCCAACAGTAAGAGAAACTCATTATTCACACCATAACATATTACAGGAGTCAACCCACTGAGAAAAGCCCCCATTGAGCTGAGCTGACCTGAGTGGAATTTCACAAGATGGGGTCTGCATCTTCAGTAGATGTCGAAACTCAGTCGACAATTTTTCCAGATCACCTGCACAAACATACATTAGAGGGTTATAGAGGCTGATAGCAGGCTTACTGAGTTGTACATGAGGCTGATACTAGAGGCTGATACTAGAGGCTGATACTAGAGGCTGATACTGTTTCATGAGAGCTGTAGGTGGGGTGTGACTAATATGATATACCTGCTACAGTCTGTGAGAGAGAGTGCGTACTAGGTGTGTCCTGGGGAGGAGCCGCTGTCTACCGGACGACAGGCAGCAGAGGAGGAGAGCGGCATGTACGGGAGAGCACAGGAGGAGGCAGACGGGAGTGGCGCGGTTAGCGAGACGAGGCGAGAGTGAGAAATATGGACGAAGGTCTGCTGCCAATGAACTGTAGCTGTGGGCACTCGGAGAGTATGTCCTGCAGAGGTCTGCCACTAGAGCTGAGTGGCAGGGGACCAAGCTCCTGCGTGTACTCTCTCACACACTGAGCACCAGGGAGGAGAGAGGGGAGGGAGGGAGAAAGAGAAGAAGAGCCGGAGGAGAGGAGTGGAGGGGAGCGAGGGATGGGAAGGCCGTGGCAGGGAGGAAGGGAAAAGAAGAGAAGGAGGGAGGGAGGGAGGGCGAGAAGAGAAAGCAAATATCGTATAGCGGGAAGCAGAAGGGAAGGGAAATGTCTTGACTACACTCATGAAATGTGTGCACTGTGCAAATGACAGACGCGAGAAACACTGTGTGGCAACTCATACACTAGTATAATGAGAAGACTTTTGCTCAATTTCACGATGTTTTACTCCCTATAGCTCAAACTGAATGTTGTGAGCATGTATATATCATGCGATTCTGCAGATGCCAGCGACGATGGGAGTTGGTGTGACATACTCTAGAAGTTTGTGTAGAAAATGTAGTCTACTCGAGTAGTTTATCCTGCGTTGCGGGTCTGGTAGAGACATGTACCACAACTTTCTGCAGAACTGCAGGTCCAGACCTTATTTCTGACCAGAGATCTCACCAGAGGACTCATCTCATAGCGGATTACATCACCTGCAACAACCCAATCATCACCACACCAATACAGTGGAATCCCTCCTCTAACACGTGAACAGAAGATGAGCGTGTCCTATTACTAGACTATTTATGGGGCGAAAGCATAGAATCTAAGAATCTGTTCCTGGGAAGAAAGGAGATACTTTTTAAATGGCATTGATTTAAAAATTTGCGTAGTAGGAGAGAGGCGAGTATGTACGCACGTATTAAAGCTAGGTGGAATAGTGTGTGCTAACCAACAGACAGAAAATATTAGAAGGCGTTGGGCAATAAGTTGTATGGTACATGGGAGAAGCTACCTGAGATGGTGTTGTCCGGTTACCAGAATCATCACGATCCCAGTACAGTATGCATGGACTAGCCATCTCACTTAGAGGCCACTGTGGTAGCTGGATAGACAGCATCACAGAACATCAAGGGCATAGATTGAAGTAGTATATACATACATATACAGCAGAGCGTTGCGGGTTGGAAATTACAGTTATAACTTTCGTTGTATATTTCGTTTGAATGCGAGTCACTTGAGCACAACAATGAGGGAACTGCGCCAGCAGAGCTATCACCTGAGACCTGGAGGAGGACACACTTTTGTAAAGCAGGCAGAGGAGCAGGAGCAGAAAGAGAGATAAGCGGAAGATAGAGGACGGGTAGAGCTGAGAAGCAGGAATATGAGGGGAAGAAGGAGAGAGAAGGAAAAAAAGAGAAGAAAAAGAAGATGGGGGGACGAGAGAGGCAGGAAAGAGAAAGAAGGGCAATACATGTACATAGGAGGGAAAGGAGAGACAGAGACATAAGACCAGGAAGTATGCGGACGGAGGATGAGATAAGAAATAGAACTAAGGAGACGGAGAGAGAGAGAGAGGGAGAGAAGAGCGAGGGGTTCTGACTGGTGACGACGTTCTACTCCTCGTCTGAGAACCAGCCACACGAGGTGAACGGTGCCAGCCAGGGGAGGCGAGACCTTGATCGACGCACACACGTCTACCTAGAGACGTGACACACTGCCTCCACAAACTCCCTGACCACCGGAGACCACCCACGTCACATATGGAAATAGAAATAAACACTCGATGATGATACAACTATTCTGAATGCAACAGACTAGAGTGTCCATATGTACATGTATGTAGACTTCGCCCTGTACTACAGTAGATAGGACACTTTGAGTTTTTCTGTGAAATAGCACACATTGCGAAACTAGAATGCAGAAACGTTTACAATGTGATTGGATGGTATGTACATGCTTCAGACCATACACGAATGTGCAAGGTATATGACGATGTTTTGTTACGAATAAGCCAGCGAGTCAGTACATTTAGCTATTAGGTAGATACAGAGTTGACAAGGAATCTACAACATGCCCGGTCTTGATGTGCAATTCTTTCTATAAACTTTCTTCCTTGGGTGTATTCAGCTATTCGAGGAGTACTTGCTCATTGTACTAACGTGGGCTTGAGGTCTCCCTTGTCCCACATGCGTTCTAGATCAGGTCCACCTCCTTCCGGACGCACCGCCGTGCCACGGAAGATCACAGTATCAATAGCATCTGAGCTCCTGAGAGAGAGAAACTGAGTGCACGATGACCAGCGAGCGATCCCTCGCCATCGTGCGTAGATGAGATGTGCCTGGAATACATAACAGCGCAGAGATGAAAACCGCAAGTCCCTAGAGCACAAGCCTGCTCAGCGACCGTAGGAGTATAGGTCACAATATGTGACAACACACACACACACACACACACACACACACTGTCACACATTTATTGAGTATCGGCTGTTACGCAGATAACTTTCACTAATACTGTACATGCAACACATAAATTTTCTCCTGGTGTTTTCACATATATTTAAAAACGTTACTTATGGCAGCGGCCACACACGTGACCACTTAGCGTCATACATGTGTGATGTATGGGCTATATGTACACATGATTACGTCATGACAAACATGTATACACACATACCTGATGTTGCGCCTCACGTGAGATCATACAACATTGTCTCCCCAGCTATCTCAAACTGGTCCGACTCAGTTGAGGCTGCGGATCATAATGCATGAGGATCTTACCCTACGGACGAGCGATGCTGGGCGTGGCAGCCATACTGGAATAAATAAGAAGCTGGTAGAGCGTGGGCCTGGGGGGCATGGCAGTACAGATGCAGTGGGGACAGTCTGGGGAGAGGGATCCAGAAAATTTGTGCGCGATAGTGGTCGAGCGCAAGAACAATGGACTAACTCTGATGGAGCAGGAAGGTCGTAGGCTGGTTACACATCCAGGTGTGGTGAGTGGGACGCGCGAAAGAGAGCGGGAGAGCGGGGAGAGAGAGAGGAGAGGAACGGATAGGGTGCTGGGGGAAGGTAGCTGCACCAAAGAGGGACGTCGGCAGAGATCTGTGGAACCCTGTGCCGACCAGAGCCAGGGGGGCGGTGGTGCAAGATGGCGGGAGGAGGGTGAGGCGTGGATGGTGGGGAGGGTGCCGTGATTCCTGGAGAGGAGAGGAGGGTATGGCACTGAGGTCTCTGGGAGTAGTCAGGACAGAGGTTGCAATGCCTGCAGACCAAACACATCTATCCTCTCATCTCTCTTCTCAGCTATCGGTGCATGGCGTGGAGAACAGAGCACGGAGCTTCACAGCAGACATGCATCGCACATACAACATAAGTACATGAGTATGTAGACAGCGCGTAAGCACTGAGACAGAGAGAGCTTTCTTCATACATAATATTATGCGCACTACACTCCAGATATCGGCACCTCGAATGACTATACTGTTGTATTCACTAATGAACATGTACAGTTAATATAGTGTTGGCTAGCATTATAAAACATTGTGTGTATTATCCAACCGTATAGTGGCTCCGGAAAAACAGTGTAAGAGTGTAGCACTATACCATTATTGGAAGAGGTCAATACAATTGGAACCAGGTGTTGTTTCACTGATCAAAACGACTTCGAACGATCAGATTTGCAAACCTTTTACAACATGCACACAGCTACATATATATAAACACATGGCATATTACGTGTATGTAGCTCACTTGACGGCCAGTCGTGAGTGCGGAAGAGGATGCGTGCGGTCCCGGAGGCGGGGTCAACTCCGAGGACACGCCCACCACAGTTGTCCGAGAGCTGCCCGAGGCGAGACGAGATCTTCTTGGGCGGGAAAGCTTGGGGAGGTTTGTGACCATGAGAATGTTAGGGAGGGATGATTGCTGGGGAGCAAGAGAGTGGAGTGGAGTGTGAGGGAAAATTAACACTAGAAATCTGAGCAAAAGTCGTAGTTGTGGAACATTGCAACTTAGTATATGCCTACACGTGTTTGGTGCATGCTGAAAAAAGGTAAATAGCATACCTCTCAGGACCACTGCATAATGTACATGTATACACACAAAGGAACTGATTTGCCATATTATTATACCTGAGGTCCCTTGGGTCCCTCCACGTCCTCCAGAAACTGCTCGTAGCTGATCAGTTGCTGGGCAAACACCTTGAGGGCATCGGAGGTGAACTTGCTGTGGACGAGGACAATCGTCATGTTTATGCACGTGGCGGAGGTCGTTCAGCTCAGAGGAGAAGTTGACGTCGCTGGAGACCAGGACGACGGTGGAGGGGGCCGGGTAGGTGTGGGCAAACCTCCGCAGACTCTGGCGGAGCTTGTCGTCGGCCGCGTTCTTCGCCACCGCATTGACATGGACCAGAGTCACCTATACACGCATGTCGGAAACAGTGTAGTGTTACAAGGCATGCACGGAATGCTTGAGACTACAGACATACATACATGAAAAATCAATGCATACAACAGTCATAGTGTATTGGGGGTTATGTACAAGTGAATGTGAAAAACACATCAATACATGCTGCCATGGTGCAGTGAAAAACAGCCAAAGTTTATAAACGCTGAACGAGTTTTTGCTAAAGACACACAAGCCACTCATTCAGCCTCTCACAGTAAACAAGTTGCTAACATTTGAACAACACCCTAACACAGAGGACACACACCACCGTCAGACACACACCAGATCATCAAAAACAGGAGCTATTCAGAATGTCAATACTACGAGATACGCACACTATCCCTGCTGTAGACATGTTTAGGTTACATGGTACACGTAACGTATAGCTAGACGCGCAAAAACACTTCAGCAAATTTAAGATCCCTTACTGTGGAATGCCAGTGTTTATACAAACCCAAAGGTTTTCTTGCTCTAGAAAGATTTTGGAAAACTTTTCGGTTGATTTCACCTGAGCTTTGTTCAAAGCGTTGATGACGTCTTTCCTCTCCTTGGTGATGTCACACACCACCATGAACTCCGCCTCCCGTTTCCCCTCAAAGAACACCCTCCGCATCTTGGTCGCCACGGTGAACGCCGACTTGTTAGTGGGCACGGAGCAGTTCTCGATGTCCCAGAAGAGGCCGACCGGCTCGGGCTGACGGGCGTGGGCAGCGTGCCGCGACTGGGCCTGGCGAGGAGACGGAGAGAGAACAGAGGACACAATTTGAGAGTTAGGGTCTGGGGAAGAGTTGTTTCCCTTCCCGCGTCGATTCCTCCTCTTGTTCTCCCTCACCTCCTCCCCCTCCTCTTCCTCCTCTTCACTGTCGCTACTCCCAGGCTGCATGTCCAGTTCATTCAAACTAAGAAGTTGGGCCATTTCAGCCGGCGTGTACTCCAAGTCGTCCTCATCGTCGGATGAATCACTCGAGTCACTGCCACCAACTCCAAAGTAGACCCCCGCCGGCTGGGGACCCAATATTTCCCCTCCCCCCACACCATACGTATAGTCATGGTAGGGATAGTTGGGGTCGTTGTGAGGGGAAGTATTACCGGTCCCCAGTCTAACGGCTTCGGACGAAGCATTCCTCATCCTCGACTTTTTCTGTGTCGCAGCCGTCTGTCCGAGATTTCCGGTACTTTTCACAGCAGGTACACCCCCTTTCTTGCGTCTCTGTCTCTTCTTCACGCGGCCTTCCTCTCCCTTTCCCCCACCACCCACATCTTTCTTGCTCCCTGCCTTAGCGAGCTTATTATTACCACCTCGTTTGTTAGGGACAGGGGAAAGCCTTTTGTGGGTCCTATCTTCATCTTGTTCTTCTTCTTTGTCATCGGAGGTGAGCGACTCGCTGGTATCTGTGAGAACCTCCACGTCAGATATAGAGACGGATTGGGTGGAGGTTGAATCTCTGTGAGTGCGAGGACACATCTTCTTGTGCTCTCGCAGCTCAGCATGCGACGAGCAGACTATGTTACACTGGAGAGAGGGGAGAGAGGGAGAGGAGAGAGGGAGAGGAGAGAGGAGAGAGGGAGAGGAGAGAGGGAGAGGAGAGAGGGAGAGAGGAGAGAGGGAGAGGAGATAGGGAGAGGAGAGAGGAGAGATACGGGAGGGGAGGGAAAGTAATAGAAGGGGGAAGTCATTTCTCTGTGGGGCAACAGGCACTACAGCCTTCTACAATCTGTGGGGCTGTGAACAACAACCAGGGAAGCATGGGTAAACAATAGTGTCACATATGCACACATGTACTAAACACACAAAAGCTGCACACACACACATGCTGAAATTCATAAACATACTGTACGTTGTATATTGTGATTGAACGGTGCTAAAAACTGAAGCAAAATCGAACGTGCATACTCAGTCCCATACTAATGAAGTGCAAACCCTCGGCGAACTGTGCATGCGCGCGATACTGCTAATTGATGGGCTGGGCGTTTACTCCGTGGTCTCCCGCTAGTATATAGCTCGCGGAGAGTCTGACACTGGCTAGCTACACTAGTAGATAGCATGCGGGAGTCGATACACGCCATTCGTTGTGACTTCCTGAGCCCCCAAGGTACACAGGAGCGAGCGGATCAGGTCGCGGTAAGCCCAGTGCTAATATGCATATTGGCTTTTTCGCTTGTTTTCACGGCATATCTCTCGAACGCAGTCGTTTCAGGGAAATCGCCTAATACTTTTTCAGGTTCGGGTAGTTATGAAGCCGTTGGTATCGCTCATTCGCCACCCCGTAGCCTGTAGTGCCAGAATAAGCGTCAACACACAGACGGCATGCGCGCCGAGGGTTAACTACACAGTAGCTTGGCACAGTACACACCATCTTTTCATTATCCTATTATCATTCAGTTGCTCAATCAGTTCATGCACAGTCAGCAACCCATAATGTTGTGTGTCAATGTGACCTCACCCCAGTACATAGTAGCTGGCTAAGCTGAATATGATGGGAGAGGGTGATGGGGGAGGAGAAGGAGAGGGAGCAGGAGGGGTCCCCACATTTACCACCGCACACCACGACACCAGCTACGGGCCCTCCTGCCAGTTCTGGTGGAGGAGACCCAGCTGCAAGGAACACACGTATAATTACTACCATTACAAACAGGAACCACATACTGGGGAAAAATTTCTCAACAGGGGCAAATTGGTCTGAGAGAAGAAGTTTGAGGATGAGACAAAAGGCCACTGCAATAATATGGACTTCCCCACCACACAAAGTGCATTGTATATACATTAGGACATGGGGATTGCCAGTTGCCAAACATTAGTGGAAGGCCCTGTCATTATACAACCATTAGTACATACATGTACAACCCTCAGTACATCAATAAGGAGGGCACTTCCCTTTATGGGAATTCAACTGAGAGCCAAAAGACAATTAGAGGGCTAGGTGGGTTACTATATACATAGCTCTCCCTGAAATGAGTGCAACATGCCCACTGTGTACAGTGGATCACCTTTTCTTGCAATTCCCTGTAAGACCTAACAGTAGCAAACTTTTTTGCACTGCATTCACACCCAATGCTAAAAGAGACACACCACTGAACCTTTCTCTACGAGTAACGAAACAGTCAGGGGGTCCCCACAATGTGTCATACTGACGCAGTGTATATAGTAAAGAGAACTTACTACTACTACTGTTGCTCTTTCTATCCCTGCCTGGGTGCCTGAGGGGACAGTTCTTGTCCATACACCTCTTCTCCCTCCATCTGCTGCACACCTCCTCCGTCTGTAGAGCCAGCTCCGAGTGGCGGTACTCGCACTATATCATACCAGGAAGAGAGAGGGAGAGAGAAAAATATGAGGAGAGATGGGAGAGGGGAGGGGAAGAAAAAATAAGGAGAGGGCCAAAAATAACAGAGAAAGGGGATGAAAATAAAGGAATTCAAGGGGAAAAGGTCAAAAGTTTGGAGGAGATATGCAAAGGGAGTAAGGAAGGTAGCTATAACCGTGGCTCCTTTCTTGCAGCGTTTCCCCTGCACAAAGAAGGAGCAGTCGGTGATAGGTCTGAAGTCAGCCTTTGGTGGAGAGAATAGCCCTTTCTTCTCCAACTCTGCCGGTCCCCGAGTCTTGATATGACTCCCGTGGAAGGCAACCCCCGCCAATTTCGCAGCCGAGAGCTCCGCAGCCTCCCTCGAGTTGAAATTGACCCATCCGAAGCCTTTGGACTTGCCAGTGGCGCTGTCTTGCTGGATCTTGACGCTGGACACGATTCCGAACTTAGAAAATTTCCTGAACAGCTGCTTCTCGCTCACGTTCTCGTCCAGACTGCCGACCCACACGGGGAAAGTGGGCCTGCCCGACTGGTCCGCGGCCATTTTCCCTTCTCGGCTTGCGCCCGTCTCTCGTTAGTTTACTTGTGCAGTGCGTTTGCACATAGCTGTTTTTGTTTCGGGTACTCTGGTCTCTGGCTCCGAAGAGACGGAGCGGTCCTTTCCGCGAAAAAACCCGTGCTTCTTCTCCTTCTCGCTCTCTTTTTTACCGCTGAACGTGACCATGACGTCAGTACAGAAGGCATCGCGCATGCGCGTGACCCGCCCCAAACGTCATAAGAAGAGAGAGCAGCACTGAAAAGAAGAGAAGAATGAGTGTCTCGCCACCATCAGCCACCTCTCAAACACCAGGTGAAGAAGCAGCACCTTCTCCGCCTGTCCCTCAACCAGGGAGGGGATTTGTACAGGACATAATCCTCAATGCATTCGAACCTGGCGTGAACCAGTCAGTTCTCATCTTCATCAACCTGGCCTTTGTCCTCCTGCTGCTCACACTAGTCGGACTGACTCTGCTGGTCGGTCTGGACCTTCATATACTGCTACTAATAGTTCTTGCAGTTGGACTCATGATTGGCTTCAACTGGTAAGTTACGTACAGTTAGGTACTTCTTTTCTCTTTGCAATGGGGCCGCAGTGGTGGTGACTACCATTGAATATGTATGACAACTGTCACGAAAACTTTCGTGAAGTTCAAGAAATTGTCATAGTATTCTTTCATGCTGTGCTTGCTGGCGGGCACAAAAGTAACAGTTCAGTGTTCTCAACCCACTGTAGGTTTATATCTCAACTGCCAAACACTGCCCCAGACCCTAAGACGACATCAAAAGAGAGAGATAAGCAAGAATAACACTGGTCTAACAACCATTGCACAGTTCAGTACACGTATCATCACCACCAGTAACCACCAGTATGTATGGTATGAAGTGCATGTTCAGAGAACCAGTGAATGACCTGAGAGTGTCAATTCACACACAATGTACAACACCACTTCATTGACTGTTAGCATCCCCCTACAGTGGCTAAGTAATAAAGCTACGATGAAAAAACAGGAAAGCTGAACACTAGAGATTGGGTTCGGCAGCCTTCCAGGTTGACTGGACAGCAAGAAATCCTAGATAGTTCCTGCACAAAGTTGCATTCTTCTTCTCACTGTTGGTGATGACCATTACCTCGCTTCTTGTGCAGAGCTCTCTTGGGGCTTATTTTGCAGCTAGCTGCAGGATTTTTCTGTTTGACTTGGGCGTATGACCAAAACCAACTCATACACAGCACATAAATCAGATCATGCGCACGATTGGAGAATGAGACTGCACTGCGCATAGACTCATGTAACAGATGTTGGTAAATCTTACAAATAAGGCACGAGGTCTATACTCTCTTGCAGCAGAACACCCGAGCCAGGTGCTGGTGGACCTGTGCCTGCATCGGTCCATACTTTACAACCTCTCCGTCCACAGTCAATATACCGCCCTCTGTCTGCGGCTCCAGCCGAAACGCCTTCACGTCGATTATCTCGACTTCCTGCCTGTCCAGGTGAGTTCCTTTCTCTGCCTTTGTCAGCATGCTGAGGAGTCCCAGTCGAGACATTCGCCTCACGTACATGATCCGGATCTTCCCGGTCCCAATAGACATCCTGGGATCCCCGAAGAAATTGGAGCTCAAGTGCGGTATCATTAGCGGCGAGACGGTCAGGAAATCCCCCTCGATCGTTTTCCAATTGTCAGGGACGTCCTCCGTGATCTCGGGGAGGAGATCTGGGCAGGGTCCAGAGCTGGCGTAGCTACGGAGAGATGCTGGCGTTTGCACCTGGTCTCCAGCCACCGGCGAGGTGGAAGTGATTTGAATGGGCTCTGCAGCTGCTATTTTAACTGCCGGTTTCTCCTCTCGTGCCACGAACTCCCAGTCCTTTGTCACGTCTTCTATCTTGTCGGTTTTTTCTCCTCTAACGGGTCCGTCATCCCCCAATCTTCCCTCTGCCCCTCCCGTTAGCGAACGAATACTCGACTCTTCAAGAACGACGTCTTTAGTGTCCCCGAAAACGTCGCTTTTCTCTTTCTCGCTCTCCTCGCTCGAAAGCTGCAGTGGGGAAGGACCCTCCTCGTTAGGGGCCTCATCAATCGTGTCCCCTCCGGGCAACGCTGAGCAGTGTTCCCCACCACCCCGCGAGAGTAGCTGAGGATTAAGACTAGAGGTGACTAGATGTGCAGGTGGGCCGGGAGGGACGGAAGATGAGAGGGTTGCTTGCGTCGGGACACTTCTCGAGAGTAGTGGAGCGTCGGGAGCCTTGGATTCGTCCCAGGGTAGGTACACCAGTCGCCCACGGTAGACACGCTTCCTCCGAATACAGTTGAGTGCACCTGAAATGATGCAGGTAATGATTGCAATGCACTACTATATTATACAAAGCAACATGATTTCTAAAAGTATAGGATTAGCTGAAGTCAAGATGATAAATACATCAGGGAAAAACATGAGGTCCAGGAAGGTCTTTTAGCAACACTATGATTCCAGGGACCAGACGCTCAGAAAAAAGGCACATTTGGCCTTAGGACACTAACCTTACCCTTCAACAAGAAAACCCTTACAAAATATGAGTCTTTGGATTCTTACCGAGCAGAAAGACGGGTTTCCCCGATCTTCTCAGGCTCTCAGACTCAATGTCAATGTCGGAAATGAGTCCCCAGCCGCTGAGAATGGTCATGTAGAGAGGTCCTGCTTGTCGGCAGTCTCCACAGTGGTGATGTCCATGGGATGACCCCTCTCCTGGATTATCTGGAAGGCAGCGTTCACCAGACTGAACTCTTCACTGCGAGGAAGGATGTGCAAGGGGAAGAAGGATCATTGAAATACATTTCCACTGCATAATAATGAAACAAGACCAACACACAAAAGCAAAGCCAAACTAAACAGCAATCCATAACAAGCCAACCGAAAATCCAAAAACAAAAAACAATCAGCCAAACAAATATCCAAAACAATACAGCCAAACGAAAAACAAAGAATACGACTAACCTAGATAATTGATCATACATGCACACTTATCCATCATAAAAAGACTAATCTTACCCTGCCTCGTAGAGTGTAGAGGCACAGAGAGCATTCCCTGAGCCGGTGGGCAGCATCCCAATGGGTGTCTTGAGAGCCTGTTCCCAGTCCTCTCTCTCCATCATACCATTCACCACCTGGTATAATCATAGGGGTCTGGATCTGGACGGGAACATACAGTATATTGTACCTCGTAGAGGAGACCGTCTCCAGACGCAATCACAATACCGTCCACAGTGGACAAGTCGTATTCCTTCATCAACTCCCTGGCATGGTTCTGCCTCTCTGCACACATAAGACAACACAACATGCTTTGTTCTACTGCTACTGTATGATTGTTGACGTTTGGAAGATATATACTGTAAAAAACAGATGTAGGAGTGCTGTTCCCCACCTGTTACGATTGCATTGAAGGTGATCTCGGCTAGCTCAAACAGAGGCTGGACATGCTCCTGGAAATCTTGCACTGCCTTCCCTGTCCACTGATGGTTGATCAGTACTAGCAGACGTCTCTGCGGCACCCCA